ACATACATACATACATACATACATACATTACATACATGCATACATACAGTACATTACATTACATTACATTTCATTACATTACATTACATTTCATTGCATTGCATTGCATTACATTACATTACATTACATTACATACATACATACATACATTACATCACATGCATACATAACATTACATACATACATACATACATACATACATACATACATACCTACATACCTACATACCTACATACCTACATACCTACATACCTACATACCTACATACCTACATACCTACATACCTACATACCTACATACCTACATACCTACATACCTACATACCTACATACCTACACACATATATACATACACACATACAGACAGACAGACATACATACCTACATACATAGATTACATACATACATACATACATACATACGAGAGAGGGAGATTGGGGAGAGAGAGGCTTGGGGGGATGGGGAGGATGGGGAGCAGAGGGAGGGAGAGAGGACGACAGAACACACAAGGGAGACAAGGGAGAGAGGAACAAGGAGAAAAGGGAGAGGACAATGTCGGCGGACTGAGCCAGAGGCTGTAAAGTAATCTCATCTGGCCTAATAGGATTTTCTGCGGATTACATCCTTTTTTCCTATGAGCCAGAAACTCCTAATATTCAACCTGGCCTAAGAAACATTGTGATCTATTCCCCTCAAAGGTTTGACCAGCAGACTTGGCCCACATCTGGGGTACACAGAAAATACTATTGTCAGATGGCTCAAATTCAACCTGGCCTAAACATCCTCTTGGGACCCCCGGACCTTTGCTCGCCAACTCGCCAAGCTCAGGCCACCCTGCTGGTGTTGTCGGCTTCTTGCCCTCCCGGCAGCCCGGCACCGATCCTCAAACATCGGCATCGACAGGGTTCCGTGCTTGGGCTTGAGTCATGCTGGGAACCCCCACCTACTCCTCCCCCCAAAAAAAGAAAAGAAAAAAACCAGGCAACATAAAATGTCACTGATTTCAGCTGACTCAATTCCCCACTTGGAAATTGGCTGGTTTGATAGGCTTTTCGGCCCGGAAAAGGGGAGGAGGATCTCTCATTGGGACTGCCGAGGATTGATACAACGTTTTCGGGCCGAACCCCGGATGCTTCAATCTCAGGGCCTTAGCCTCCTGTCCACTAACATGGAACATGACTGAGGGGTGGGAGACGATTTTCCTTTCAAAGGGACCCTTTGTTGGGTTCCATGTGGACAGGAGGGTAATATTCAGGGCATTAGATGATTTCCAACCTTGTATCAATCCACCAAAAGGCAATGCTACTGTTCAAAACGCCTGGGCAGCCATCTTCGGGCTCCTTCCGCCCGTGCAGCGCATGGCATGCGGGAAGCCCAGTTAAGCTAAGCAGGGTTTGCCCGCGGGAAAGCTGAATGTCTGGGCAGATGAGCATCAGGAAAAAAAACAGCTGCAAATAGAAATCCCCTCAAGATAAGGACCTTCATGGTAGCTCCTTTTCTCTTGCCCTCCCGCAGGTGACCTCAGAAAACAATTCGCTTAGACCTACGTGTTGAGGAGGGCAAAATGTCCGCATCCGTGCGCATGGCTGCCAACACAGTGCACAAAAAGCAAGAGCACTATCTGTTGTCTTTACTGGGGAAGGTGCGAGGGCAGTGCCAGTGGGCCAAGAAAACTGGAAGCCATTTGAAAAGGGCGTGAGTTGTAACGGATTCCCGGAAGACCACTGGGCTTTGCATTGAGTCAAGGAGATCTAGGGTATCCGGATTCGCCGGCCTGTGGTCACCTGGCCGCGGACAATCCAAGGTTGTGGCAAAATGGGGGACCCCTCCAAATTGGTGATTTCCCTTGAGTTCCCTCCAACCCAACACCAAAAACCATCAAAACGCACACACACACACAAACACCCCTATGCTTATCCGATAGGATGGGATTTCACCCAGCCTGGACAATTCTTCTGGGCCACAAACTGAGGGCCCAGCTGGTACCACTGCATCCCTCGCACCGGCGGGCCGTCCATACATCCGAAGCGTCCCAACTGGCGCGCCAAAGAGCTGCGCCCGCAAACAAGAAATGCACAGGGCCATGCAAGAACCAACATCTTGGTGTAACGGAAAACAAGTACAAAACTACTACATAAAATATGAAACCATAAATCACTAAATAAACAAAACCAAAACTAGCTCTAAGAACATAACTAAACACACAACTAAAACAACCATAACATAGTTAAGCAAGTAAATAACAAAGTAGATAAATGCATGATCATCGCAACATAACATAAATAACCCTGAATTAAATGGCTGGCCGACCCGATCCGCAACCTGGGGGGAAAACCACCAGGCACTTCGGCGTGCTGTGGATGAACAAAACTCCGCACGCATTGGGACGGATGATTATCTATGAAGACTGGTGCCAGGTGGTGCAAAATTCCGTCCGCAGTATCTCAGAAAGGGCTTTCGTCGCGAAGTGACTCCTTACAAAAACTATGCGATGGTTTCGTGGCCTGGAAGTATCTCTCGGGCTGCCTGCGATCAAAGAGAAACCATCCAAAGCTTGCCACTTTTTGCGCGGGCCATACGGCTTTCCAATGAGGCCCTAAAAGCACCCCAAAGCTGGGCCAGGAATAGAGCGCCCACAAACTGTATTAAGGAAAATCAAGAGAAGCAAGAATTGAACAACATCCAACCTTGTTGCTTGTCATCAGGCAAACAAGCTAGCTAGGCCGAACAATGCAAAGGCAATGCCCGAAACATGCATCCGGCCTTCTCAAAACAGTCCTCTGCGTCCGACTGCACCAGCAGGGGCTTGCGCACCCCTGCAGGCTCTGGGTGCGTTTCTGAGGGTACCCTTGACAGATTGATTGGTTTCAAGGAAGACAACAAGGAACATCACCAAAAATGGGCGTTCCTCTTCGGCAACGCCTCTCATCCCCGAAAAAAAAGACAAAAAGGAACGCCTTGCCCTCTTGAAACTGGTCCTCCCTACCTCTTTGCCCCCAAAAAAATGGCGCTTGATTCCGGTCCGTGTTTTTTTTCCTCAAAGTGAATCGGTTTGTAACGAGATCCAAGTCCTTCCTCAGAAAAGAACTCAATGCAAACAACAACGCCCCCAGATGGGCACGTGGGGCCTGACTGCGCACTTGCTCTTGACTTCTTTGGCACCCAGACGCCTGCCCTGCTTGATGAAGCAGGTTTCCCTGCAATCTTCCAAGCAGGACAATACTGAACAAAGGGCCATGGTCCTGAGATGGTGCAATTCTGAGTCATTGGACCCCCCCCCGCCCCCGCCGGCGGAAAACAAACGCCTTCGCCGATGACTCGCCGAAGCGTCATGGAGACGTTGCGGGTGTCGAAGGCGATATCCACCTTGGAGACGCAAGGGCGGTCATGATGGATTCATTTTGGCCGCGGCTGCAAACTACGCTCGAAGTGCTCATGGTGGGAGAGCATTTCCAATCTGAGGCCAACTGTCGGGATGCACAGCAGGCATGGCTTAAAAACGTAACAATCCAACCCCCACAAAGTCACAGCCACCCCCCCAAGAACACGAAACAAAGATGTTTCTATTAGGGAGGCCCTTTTCCATGCAACCCGAAGTGTACTCAACCCAGTTTGTGGAAGTAAGCGCCACGGCCTGCTTGTGGGGAGGGAACAAAAAGCTGCAATTTGGTTGCAGTGAGTCGCCAACAAGCCATGGGCTTCTCTGATTTGTTGTGTTGGCTTCTAGGGTCGCTAGCGTGTATTGGCTCCGGCTTGCTGATTCTAAAACTTATTAGGCTCCTTTGGCTTTCCTTCTCGCATTTCCGTGCCAACACTCCCTTTCCCTTTCCTTCTTGCTGCCTTCTACCAATATCCCATGCAGGATGCCCACACATACACATCTGGAAATCCTAAAAACTAGGTCCTCCAGTAGAGAGGTTAGAATCAGGGTACCCTTTTTTCTGTTAGTAGGGGAACCCTCCCACAAAAAAGGGGTGAGAAAGGGCACCTAGCTGGGGGACCTCGTCCAAAACCCCCCAAACCTGAGGCAAGGGATCCCCAAATCCAGCTCGTAGCATCGCATCCGCACGCACCGCGCGTCCCAAGGCCCGGGCGGCACGCAGCGGCTGGCGCGCCGCGAAGACGGGCTCCAGGGCCAGGCTCAAAGAGTCGTAGTCCAAGGGCTCGAAGTAGTACTGCCGCTGGACCTCGACCAAAAAGGCGTCTAGTATATCTCGGCTGGAAGGACCCCCCTGCAACAAGTGAACAACTTGTTGGGGGTTCAGTGGAAAGCCCAACTTGATTTCAACCAAAAAGTTAAAGTCTAAAGATCCAACCCAATAGGTCAAGGTATGGTCTTTGTGTTTGGTCCCTGGTGTGCAAAAACAAAAAGGAGTCTATGTGTGGTCTTCCCCTTCTTTTGTCCGTAGGTGGTCTCTCCGGTTTGGTCACGCACGGATCTTTCGCCATGCACACACCAGCTGTTCTTGGTTTCGCCGACCGGTGAAACAAGTCGCTAAATCCCATGGGCCGCACGCTCAAAAAGGAGTCACCGTACCCACGGGGAGAAGGCACCAAAGGGGACCTCTGGATGTCTGGGTGCCCTTTGCGTAAAGGCAAGAACCAAGACAATTGGACACAGACAGCTTCCAAGTGAGGCGGTGGTTTTTCTTTCGCAGGTTTCCCGATTTTCGAATTCTGAACCCCCCAAAACAAAAAATGGGAGCCCAGCAAAACGAAAAGGGATCCCAAGGGCGTTGGAATCCACCAAACTGGGTTTGCATGGCCTCTGAGCTTCCGGGCTGCGTAGTCCAAGGCATCCCGCGCTGCGTAGGCTGCTCCAAAGATCTGAGGGCGAAAGGCGAAAGGAGCCATAGACAAAAACCAAAAACAAACACAAAAACAAACCAACAAACCAACAAACAAACCAACAAACCAACAAACCAACAAACCAACAAAGACAAGATACACAGAAACCAAGAAGCACACACACAGAAGAAACAAGGCAAGGTAAGGTAAGGTAAGGCAAGGGAAGGCAAGGTAACGCAAGGCAAGGAAGCCAATCCAAGCAAGCCAAGCAAGCCAAGCAAGCCAGGAAGCAAGCAAGGAAGCAAGGAAGCAAGCAAGCAAGCCAAGCCAGCCAAGCCAGCCAGGCCAGCCAAGGCAGCCACGCAAGCCAGTAAGCCAAGCAAACCAAGCAAGCCAAGCAGACAAGCAAGCCAAGCAATCCAGGCAAGCCAAGCAAGCAAGCAAACAAACAAACCCATCGACCAATCGGGCAATAAGCAAACAAACAACACGAAACAACACGCTCAGCACACAAACACGCAAGCAAAGAAAGAAAGACATGGGAAAGAAAGAAAGAACGAAAGAAGGAAAGAGAAGAGAAGAAAAATAAAAACAGAGAGAGAGAGAGACAGGAAGAAAGAAAGAAATGCATGAAGAAAGACAGCAAGGACGAAAAAAGGACACAACGAAACAATCAAGAAACAAAAATAACATAATAATGAAATAAACAAAGAACGGAAGAGCATAATGAACAACAAACAAAATAAATAAATAAATAAATAAATAAATAAATAAATAAATAACACACACACACACAACATCAACACATGCATGAGGAGCAAACTCAGTACATACACGAGTGGCAAATTCAATCAATCAATCAACCAACCAACCAACCAACCAACCAATCAATCCATCAATCAATCAATCAATCAATCAATCCATCAATCAATCAATCATTCAAATCAATCAATCAATCAATCAATCAATCAATCAATCAATCAATCAATCAATCAATCAATCAATCAATCAATCAATCAATCAATCAATCAATCAATCAATCAATCAATCAATCAATCAATCAATCAATCAATCAATCAATCAATCAATCAATCATCAATCAATCAATGAATGAATCAATCAATCAATCAATCAAGCAAGCAAGCAAGCAACCAATCAACCAAGCAAGCAACCAATCAAGCAAGCAACCAATCAAGCAAGCAAGACACCAACCAATCAATCAGCCAATCAAATCAAATCAAATCAAATCAAATCAAATCAAATCCAAGCAAGCAAGCAAGCAAGCAATCAATGAAATCAATAACATCAACCTACATAAGCATCTCAGCACTACACAGTAAACGAAACAAGCAAGCAAGAAACAACCACAAGGAAAACCACAAACAAGCACGCAGACCAAGATTCACGGAAACAAAAAAACAAGAAACACACGCAAACAACACATAGACCCGCCTGCGCTGCTTCGGAGCCCACCCGCTCCGCGGCCGCCAGGATGTACCGCTCCCGGGCCACATCCACCTGAAAACAAATGATTCGGAAGACATCTTCCGGGAAATTAACATGGAGTGAAGAGTCGGAGTTCCTTTTACCTGGAGTGAAGACATTCTCCTGAAAACAAAGAGTCGGAGTCTCATGTAGTTTTCCACAAACAGATCCAAGAACTCCCTTGCAAATTCACATGGAACCCAAAAAGGAGGTCTACCAAACGGAAATTCCTCTTCATGTACCCTACCTGTTTTTGTTCTTTTGCTTTACCTCCAGTGTCTCCTCCAAATTCCCTGGCATGAAGCCCTCCAAAGATCAGGCCAAGCAGCCACAAGCCCAGATCCCAGATTTGGAGCCTTGCACTGGCCAAAAGCCTCTACCTGTGCCATCGGCCCCCTCCATTTTGAGGGTCCCCTTTTCACATTGTTCTCATGCAAGACCAGTCAAAAGATCATGTTGGGGGCCCCCGGTTTGAGACACCCGCACGCACTGATGCTTTCTCGCGAAGACGCCTAAGTTGCAAGAGAGCTTATTCACCCCCTTCCAGTGAGGATGGGTAGCCTGCAGCAGGCATTCAGTACTTGCAGCATGCATAATTACATACAGACCTGTGAGACTTTAGCATGAGTAAACCCGTTTCAAGGAGTGTATTCCCATCTTTCTTGACAACAACTCCGTCTATAGGGCAAAAGGTAGTTGTTAGAACCACGAAAGGGGGACCCATGGGGAAGCCACAGGGAATCCTGTCCACATCCGTTCTGAGGTTGCCGCTACTGTGCCGGTATAACGCAGGGCGACGATCATCAGTAGCACCGACACAGCGCCAACCCAGGACCTTGGCAGCTGCCGACGCCTTTTTCGGGTGCCCAAGCAGAAGACTGGTCCTGAAATTGGCCAATGCCATGGGTCAAAACCCAAATCGTAGCTTCAGTGAACATCAACCAATCCCCACTAAAATAGGTTCTAAAATGGGTGGTGCACCTATCCCAAAATGGAACCATTGGTTTTGAACCATGGCCATTTGCCGACAATCTGTGCCAAGCTGTTTTCCCACTGGAGGTGCAGTGACAACATCAAAGCTGAACTATCTAAAATAGTTTGCCGAAATGAGCGCCTTTCTTGGTTCTTAACTTTTGAGGCGCTGGGACATTCCATCTGCGCTGAGGCAATTCATCCTGGCCGATTCAAAGAAGCCAGACGTAGGAAGATCTACAGGAATCCTAGCTAAGCACCCGCATCCAGGACTTTGGGCCATGTTTTGGCAATTTAACTGCAGCAGTTTGCATCCAAGAGCGGAGGACATACCCAAACCTAATGCTTGATCATCCAGGGCTCAAAGAGATGTGACGGCACAGAAATATCGCGAAACCCAGTCTCTCAGAGCTTGTTGTGACACCCTGCATAACTTTGCCACAGCCAAGGAGCCTTCCGGTTCCTTCATGTTTATCCAAGGATACAAGGATACGGGCTTGTCTACTGGCGAACCTACGAAATGGGCGATGCATCTTTGGCTTAACTTCTCCCAAGCCCACTGACCTAAGATGCCCTCACTGACTCGCTGCCTGAAGCAGGGAGTCGCACCAAAACCACCCCTCACAGGTTTGGTCCTTCAGCTGAGGCCCCGAGCGCCAGAATGCAGGCGATGCAGCCTGCACCCACTTGGGCCTCAGCTGAAGCGAGGGAAAAAAGGGCTTGGTGAAGCTTGGCAAGTGGCTGCAGCTCACAAGACTAAAAGAATGGCAACCAAAATGGGCATCTGGGTAAATAGAACCCAAGACGAACACCTGCGTAACCCTGGCCCTTTGGATCTGAGCCACGCCCAAATCTGGATCCCTTCAGTGGTTGAATTTGTGTTTGCGGTGCAAGCGCAATGCCCAATCCAAGCCGAAAACAAAAGGGCTCTGGGAAAACAGTGTGGGTCCTTCGGAGTCTTGCTGTTGAAGGCCAAACCCCCCAGAAACTCCGCCCACAAACAACAGGGACGAAACCATGTTGACACCTGAGCAATTGATCAAAGAGCTTGATGGATCGATCGCCGCTTGGCTGGCTGGTTCATTGGTCGGTCGGGAAGGTCGGTTGGGTGCTTTGGGATACCCCAGGGTGTCATGAGTTGTTGTTTTCTCTCTCGCTCTCTCTCCCTCTCTCTCGTGCCATTGGAATCCGTCCCACTGGTGTGGGGGCACACCGGGCGATCAGCAGCGAGGCTCAAGGTCATGAGGTCTATCTCTGCCCTCTCCATCTTGTGGTTTTCTAAGTGCAAGGCACTTGATGCAGAACCCCCCTACCCCCCTGCGGCAGGCAGCGACTTGTTTTTGCTGTTTGCTGCTGGGATCTGGACACCAGCCATGGTCAAACACCCCACCCGCCCCACCCAAGGCCTCAATACGCCGTAAGGATCAATAGGGCTTGCCCATCCCCCGGTGGTTGGTGACTTTGTGGCGCTAGGGGCATTTCTGTTCTCAAGCACTAGGTGAGAGCCAGGCCGAACTCGCTAGCCTGCAAGCTTGCAACGGACAGCCGTCAAAGTCCGAAATCGCAGACTCCCGTTTGCGGAACCACTCGAGGGCTTCGCATCAAACTGGGAAGAAGGAAGCTCTCCATGCCCTTGTTCCTTTTCAGGAGTGGTGCGCCGACAACAGGTCTCCACCGAATCACCGTACCCCACTTCATCTAGCTTCAAGAACTCTGCCCGGCTGCTTGCGGGGGCAAACGGGCTCAACAAAACCCTTGCCCAGACGCAGGCGTGAACGCAAGCCTACTAAACGCTTTCAGCACAGCGCATACCCGGTTGGATGACTGGGTGCACTCCCGGGAAACCGTGGCAGGGTTTGCCTTGTGCGGACATGGGCCAAGGAATGCAGAAACCAATCGCTGGTTCATATCTTGTCCTCCCTGAAATCTGAAACCTGTTAGGATGAGACGCAGTTGGGACCTCATTTTTCTATGACCCCAACTGACCAAATTGAGACTCGGAGCAAGAAATGCGCTGCGTAAGTGCTCCTAAAGAAACAAACAACTGAACAAACAACTGAAACATGTTTTGTTTGGCTTCCAGCGTTATGAGGGAATCTTCCAACTCAAACGGTACTTGCGTGATTGACTTTTTCCCTTAGATAACCTGCAAGGGACCCGGATTTTGGTCGCACCCACCATGCTCTGGCCACCCTTAGGGGAACCAAACGGCGCGAGGCTGGTGTTTAAACCGATGCATCGGGGCTTGGTGCGTTACAGCTTGGGCGGGCGTCCACCACTCAACTGGGTCTGTCTCAAAATCGGGGAGGCCTCATGCTGGAAACCCCAGACCAAGCCCACAAGGGTTGTGCCATCTGTCAGCGGCCAAGTCAGGTGGCTTCCTCTTGGTTTACACCAGCCCATACCCAGTGCCCCCCCCCGCCCCCCCCCCCCGCCCCCCCCCCCGCCCCCCCCCCCCCAAAAAAAAAACACAAACACAAACGCAACACACAAGCACAAGCACAAGCACAAGCACACGCACAACAAGCACAAGCACAAGCGCAAGCGCAAGCGCAAGCGCAAGCGCAAGCGCAAGCGCAAGCGCAAGCGCAAGCGCAAGCGCAAGCGCAAGCGCAAGCGCAAGCGCAAGCGCAAGCGCAAGCGCAAGCGCAAGCGCAAGCGCAAGCGCAAGCGCAAGCGCAAGCGCAAGCGCAAGCGCAAGCGCAAGCGCAAGCACAAGCGCAAGCGCAAGCACAAGCACAAGCACAAGCACAAGCACAAGCACAAGAGCACAAGCACACAAGCACACAAGCACACAAGCACACAAGCACACACGCAAGCACGCAAGCACGCAAGCACAGAAGCACAGAAGCACAGAAGCACAGAAGCACAGAAGCACAGAAGCACAGAAGCACAGAAGCACACAAACACACAAGCACACAAGCACACAAGCACACAAGCACA